AAACAGAGTTGTTGAATATTTTGTATAAATTAATTTATAATAATCTGAGCAATATTAGCAATATTATTAATATTAATAAAAACATCAGCAATAATAAAATTAATAAAAATATTTAATACTGGGGCGGTGAAATCGAAGGGCGTACGTATATAAACTTAACAATAACAATTTATCTCGTGTACAGTTCGAGATTGCATAAATTTAGAAAGGGCTCCAGGTGTGCTGTTGTCGCGCCGTGGAATTACTTCGGCAAGTCAGATTATTAGAAATGGGGGATAAAGCGGAATGACTATAAAATTTCAATTAAAATAATTATAAAATTTCATAATAATAATTAGTAAGCTTGTTATGGCTAGTTATGTAATTACTCATTCCTTACTCATCAGAATGCTGAGCTTGATTCATATAAAAAATTTCGATCTTTTAAAATTATAAATCTCAAAATTTATAATTATAAATAAAATTACATTTATTGATGTTTAAAAATCAATTTAATTAACATGAGTGTAGCATAAGCCAAACTAGAGTAATCAACCTACTTACCGACACTAGTGTCCCTTTAGCAAAGTCTGTCCAACGGAGCCCATCAAGTTATATTTTTGTTAAATATCTCTGTTTTAGGACAGAACATGTCAATTTCATTGCTAAAGCGTTTCCGGAATCGCTCTGTCACTTACATGGAGCTACATTGATTTCCTTAAACGTGGAGCTACAACATTATTTAATGTTTTTTTATTATAAACACACTAAAAATGTTTTTAAAATGTTTTTTTTTTTGCTAAAGGATAAAGATTTTTTTTAAGAGGGAGCAGGGTAATTCAGTTAGAACGGTTTGGAGATGTCTGCTTAAGTGCCCCAAGACTTAATTTTTATTATACAGTATAATTCAAGCAGCAGCCAAATTTTATATAAAAATTCAAGAAAAATCTTTTTACCTAAGCCTTAGACTATCTAAGACTAAGACTCCTCACGAGGATCTAGAATAAATCAACATTCATACATCATTTTTCCTAATTTTCCTAATAGGTTATAAGAAATTTGAGTGCTTCGTGTACATAAGGAAACATTTAGAATGCAACGGTTTTGAAGAATCATACACCATAAATCTTAAAAGCAATTAGTTATTTGATGGAATCATGTAGATAACGGAACTTATAATTCTATTGGAATATAGTAATTTTGAGGAAAGGCAAGCCAGAAGTTTTACAAGTGTTGCCTGAACGTAAAACTGCTTAAACCAAAGATAGAAATGGTGCTGCAAAAATCGACTTTCTATATCATTCAATCAAAAATCAATTATGTCTAAGTTACTATAAAAGATACCTGTGAGCAGATATGAGATTTTGACCCATCATGTAGCTCGGTTGGTGAAGACCGTTTAGGGCATCGCCAACAAAGCTATTTCCGCCATCGACAATCACTCCGTAAAACTGCATTTAATGATGTTAAACATAAATACCTCGATCTACCGGACTTTTCTTAATAGAACCATGAAATTACCTTCATAGTTTATATTAGCTATACTATCCTTATATCAGTTTATATCAGTTATAATACTATACATTTAAATCTAATTAATTTTTTTAGTATTATTTATATAATTTAATATTTAGAAGAATATACCTATATATCTTTATATAAATTAGTGGTGGGACCAAGTAGTGCTTTAGACTTATACAAAGACTATTTAAAAAAATAATTTCAGAATTATTTTAGATCAAGCTATTATAATTTTTAAATTATTGTTGTTATATAGAATATGTACTATGCACCACAACTCAAGTAGTCGTCGATTGTGTTAATCCCACCTTTGTTGGTTTTGTTAAGCACTATTGTTCACATATATATACATTGTTTTACATATATTACATCACTATAAACACTATTTTCTATTTATTTTGAATTGGAATATGTATATCGAGTATATACATATCTTTAATAATAATAATTGATAATTATATATACTACGTTTTTGAAGTGATTACCTAGCTCTTGTTGTATTGGTCTTTTGTTTTAGATCTGTCCAAAAGGACATAGCTTAATTGGAGAAAAAAGTAAATGATATTAAATTGTTTTTAATAAAATTAGTTATACAAAATGATTTCAATTGTATTTCACATAATGAAAACCATTATTAACGACTTTATTTCACAGTTTTTTAAAATTCGGAGCAGCTACATTTTATGACTTAATCCAGCGAAAATAAAATATCTCTACTAAAAAAGTACAGCGCTGTGAAACTGGTTACCCTGTACCCTCCATAGCAACTCTTCGCTCGTAGCCTTAAATGCCATGTTTTATATAATTTTATGCATAGCCGGGCCGCACTGTCCACTTATTATTTCATATTGCACGCGTTGCATATATGTTACACGTATGTGATGTATGTGTAAAAATGACATGTTTGTTTAAAAAAAAGATTATGTATATAAATAAAAATAGTTGTGTATATTTCTACGTGTGGTGCTATATATACGATGCATTTGTTGCTAGACTATAACACAATTACGTATCAAAAGTATAAACAATCTTTTATTTGCAACGAGTTATTTTCGCTGGAACTAATAATTTTTAAAACGGTGGCGGATTCAATCGGTTTTAAGGCACTGCAATCAATGGAAATATGCGTACGCTTCAAATGTTCTGGTATAAAAATTATATATGGTTTTTATCTTATAAACGTAGAATGCGGTGTTGAGTTTAATGAGTCTTAAGAGAATGTGAATAGTTTTAAGATAATACTCGTAGCAAAAATTGCAAGTGGAAATAACACGTTAATTGAATAACTTGTAATTTATTTACAACCTACCCAATCCATATTCTGATATACTATATTGTGTTCAAGGAAGAGGAATTACTTAATTCTTCTTAATTTTTAGTCACTTTCACCAATCTTTCACATACTTCACTAATACTATATATTATTTGTTATTAGGAGTGTTTTTTTATCCGAGGTAATCGACGGCCAAATTATAATGTGTGCAACACAATGATCTAAATACGGTGGTTATATCCTTTTCAGCTGATATTTATGTCTTTGGTTGCTTTAGGTACCTTTAATCAGTGCTGTAACATAGTCTTCTTTAATTTTTAAAAATCTTTAACAATTCGATGTCTGTATTGTAGTGCGATTTACATTTGAGCTCAGAATAGACAATTACTATTACTCCTTCTCTAAAATTAACTTCTAAACCAATTAACACAGTTAGCTGCCAATATGACTCAGGAGTGTAGTGATGAATCCATGTTTTATCTATTATCGCATATCTATGTAATATAAATTTAAAAAATTGTGCTGGTGTTGATGTAAACGGCTTAAGAAGTCATTCATGTTTAGTTTATTTTTGTCGATTATAGGAAGAAATCATTCTTATACATAGTAGGAAAAATATACCTTATTCCATTTTGGACATACTTTACCAATCGTTAATCTAGTGTTCACACTTCGCTCGAATAATTTTTTTGAAGATGTTAACCTTTAACATAATTTTTTTTTCTTATTTTATAATTTTAACATAAGGTTGTCATGTTGGCAATATTATTATTAACGTGCGTTTATTATTTGTAAAAAGGGGCTCTTTACCAAATTTTTTCGAATTCGCTCCTGTGCTAATAATTGAATTTTTATGCATAATTCATATTTGCCTTAACTAATGTAGTTCATATTAATGAATTTCGAACTCAGTTGGAAATCGCAAGTTTTTATTTAAAACTGCACAGCGACAACAATAATAGTAATAATAATAACAAAAACAACAACAACAACAACAACGACTACAAAAACAAAAACAAAGCTACTAATAACACTTTCAGAACTGTAAAACTGATATAAACTGCAAGTTAAATGCAAATTTCTGTATAAATTTGATTAATTTATTTTATTCGTATTTTAATAATTCACTCTAATAAATTAATTGAAACTATAACGAAATTTATTTATGCCTAAAGATTTGTCACGTCTCTGACTTATTTACGGGCGTTGCAATCTTTTCAGTCGCTCGCCGGATCGCTGGCTCGTTTGCTTCACACTTCCACGTTGCTTGGATATTTAGTAAAAGTTAGAAAGTTACACCGACTGTCAGATGAACGCTCTTGAAAAGCATAGAACATATATACATATATATATCTAAATCTATATCTATATAAATATAATTTAATAAAAAAAACAGAAACAAAAACAAATATCAGCATCAACTTAGGCAGCTGTGATGTTTTTGCATTGCATGCGATTAAGTCATAACTTGCAATTGTTGTAACTGAATTGCTGCTATTAAAGATGTTTTTCTCGCAAAAAAAAAAAAATTAAAATATTTTTGTCGAAGAGTTTGTGGCAATTGCTGCCACATGTTGCATATATTGGCAATGCTGCGATTTGGTCTGACTTTTGCTCTTCCACTGTAAATTTCCTGCAGTAGCTGCTCACTTTTACATATGTTTCATTGGTGTTGTTGTTGTCGTTGTTGTTGTTGTTGTTGTTGTTGTAGTTATTGTTGCTTTAGTTCTTGTTTTTGTGGTTTCCGAACAAGCTAAAATAAGACAACTCAACATAGATACAATATACAATGCAAGGCAGCAAAGCCAAAAGCATAAGCAACACCAACAATAACAACTGCTCAAAATGGGAAATTTTCACGAAACAAAAAACAACAAAAACAAAAAAAAAAACAAAACCAATCGAGATACATGCATACGTCGAGCGATGCAATATTTTGCCATTGCCCACCTGATATGCTGCGCTCATAAGCAACTGCAAGTTGTACCGCTGCTGCAATTCATGTGCAACTTGCATTTTATTAATTGAATTTATATGTCTTACTTAGCAATTATTTGCATAATTTTTCTACGAAATTTTTTTTTCATTTTTATATTTTTATATTTATTGTTTTTTTTGGGTGTATAAGCTTAGTGATTTTTATAGTTATTAAGTTTGAATTTTCCATTTTGGCTTTATAGTGTTTTTTAATAACTTTTTTTGTGTATTTCTTCTTTTCTACTTACAGATACTTCAAGTGATCAAGAGGAAAATGGCGCCTGCTCACCTCTTGCCAACAGTGGTGCTGCCAGTCCAAGTAGTACAAGTTGCATGGGCTTAGCTACGGCTACGGCTACAGAAAACATTGATAATATTATTACAACAACAGACACTATTGCAGAGAACAATAAGAGTGTAACACTTACAGCAGATGCATGCAGTGAAGATCACAATCATAACAACAATATTGTAATGTCTGCAGAACAGCAGACAGAACAATTGTTACAATTGAAAATAACTACAACCGCAACATCAACAACAAATGCAACAACTATAGATACAATAAAATCAATAGAAACTTTAACAACAGCAACAACAATACCAACAGCAGCAGCAGCAACAGCAACAGCAACAGCAACAACAACAACGACGCTCAATGCCAGTAGCACAAATGCGCTGCTGCATACAAATGATTTAGATAATTTATATGTAAACGACAAATTGTCCACACCTGCAACTTGTAAGAGTGTGGCAGAAGAAGAAGGAGAAGACGAAGAAGAAGAACAACCACAACAACAACAACACCAACAAATAATAATTAGGCACTCACGTGAAAGTTCTGTGGAGAAATTGCCTTCAGACATGTGCACGACTATAGGCGTAGACTCAACGAACGATACCGGTAGAGCAACGGTTTTGAATAGTGCGAAGCTTGCCGCAGAATCAGCAACGGAGACAGCAGAATCACAAAGTTCAATATTGAGTGTTGGTGCCGCTGAACTGGATACGGAGTCAGCCTCTGCAGCTACGTCTGTTGCTGCATTAGCTACCGATACGGTAACTACTATGCCCGTTACTTCAACAGCTAGTATTTTGTCCTCATTACCTGCTGGCATAGCAGCGCAATTTGGCAATGGTCCGGTTACTTTGGAGGCCATACAAAGCATGCAAATGGCTATCGCACAGTTCGCTGCCAAAACTATAGCAAATGGTGCTAGCGGCGCTGACAACGAGGCCTCCATGAAACAATTGGCTTTTTTGCAGCAGGCGCTATTTAACCTGCAACAACAACAACTATTTCAAATTCAACTCATACAGCAGCTGCAATCACAGTTGGCCATGAACCAGAGCAAAGACAGTGATATGGGTGATGATCTGGAAGATGAGCGTGAAGATGGTGAGGAGGATACATATGAGGAGGAGGAACGCATCGCTGAAATGGAGTTACGTCAAAAGGCAGAGGCACGTATGGCCGAGGCTAAAGCACGCCAACATCTGATAAATGCTGGTGTTCCATTACATGACGGTGAAATGGAAACTTCAGAATCATTGAAACGTAAACGAGAAGATGATATGGAAACTTCCGCTTCAATACGTCGTATGAGTATCGAGCGAAGTCATAGTGGCGCTGCTAGATTATGTGAAAGTTCTGCCAGCGACACATTATCAAAATTAAAAGAGATGGAAAATATACCATTACCTTTCGGTTCTGATCTCGCCTCCAGCATTATAACAAATCATGATGATTTGCCTGAACCCAATTCCCTGGAAATGCTACAGAAGCGTGCTCAAGAAGTACTCGATTCGGCTTCGCAGGGTATTTTAGCTAATAATATGGCTGATGAATTTGCGTTTAAGGATAAAAATGGTGATGGTAAGAATCGTAATGAACCATTTTTCAAGCACCGCTGTCGCTATTGTGGCAAAGTGTTTGGTTCAGATTCAGCTTTACAAATTCATATACGTTCACACACAGGTGAGCGTCCCTTTAAATGTAATGTTTGTGGTAGCCGTTTTACTACAAAAGGAAATCTTAAAGTACACTTTCAGCGACATGCGCATAAATTTCCACATATTCCTATGAATGCCACACCAATTCCAGAACATTTGGACAAATTTCATCCTCCACTACTTGATCAAATGTCTCCTGATAGCTCACCCACACATTCACCGGCAGCGATGCCCCAACATATGCCACAGCAATTGCCAACAGTTTCGTTGCCACTGCCATTTCCTCCTGGTGCGGGTTTTTCAGGTTTGCCTGGCTTATATCGGCCACCAATGGAAATTCTTAAATCTCTTGGTGCTGCTGCTGGTGGACCGAGTTTTCCAAATCCCTTTTTTCCGCAAATGCCTGGCATGAGTGACGGCAGTGCCGTTGCCGCCGCCGCAGTACAGGCCCAAGCAGCTGCTCAGGCAGCTATAAAAAGTAGTCATCAAGAAATGCCTACGGACTTAAGAAAATCTTCGTCGAACTCTCCAGAACTACCTATTAAAACTGAAATTCTTGAAGAAAGAGAAAATGGTGATGAGAGTGCCACATGTGAAAAGGAAACACATAAAAATGTACCCGTATCTCCAACAGGCATTAAAATAAAATCAGAACAAATTGATATTGACTTTCAGCATGCTGATAAAGACGAAGCAGTATCACCTGCAACACGTTTAGCACCTTCTCCACCTATTGCACCAGCAAATTTACAACAATCACGTCCACATTTATCTCTCACTCCACCGACTACGATTTCTGCAATTCAACCATTACCACCAGTAGTTCAACCAGTGCAGCCACCTTTAGCCATGCATCCGCATCCTTCGCCTGGTTCACAAAATCATCTCGATCATCTTCCCACACCTGGACAATTACCACCTTCATTACATCATCGCGAAGACTTCTTTAGTGAACGGTTCCCATTAAATTTCACGAAAAATTTATCTCCCGATCGACACTCACCTATACGATCTCCAGCTCACATTCCCCGTTCACCATTTTTTAATCCAATCAAACATGAAATGGGTCTACTACCAAGACCGCACAGTAATGACAATTCATGGGAGAATTTTATTGAAGTATCAAACACTTCGGAAACACTTAAACTAAAGGAGTTAATGAAAAATAAGAAAATCACAGATCCTAACCAATGTGTCGTTTGCGATCGTGTTCTGTCTTGCAAGAGTGCATTACAAATGCATTACCGTACGCATACCGGAGAACGTCCGTTCAAGTGTCGCATATGTGGGCGCGCATTTACAACCAAAGGCAATCTCAAGACTCACATGGCCGTGCATAAAATTAGGCCACCAATGAGAAATTTCCATCAATGTCCAGTATGCCACAAAAAGTACTCAAATGCACTGGTATTGCAGCAACACATACGTCTACATACTGGTGAACCAACTGACTTGACACCTGAACAAATACAGGCGGCTGAAATACGTGATCCACCTCCAACTTTAATGCCAAATGCTTTTATAAATCCTTTCGCGGCAGCAGCATTTCACTTTGGTGCACTGCCCGGTAGTGGCGGTCTAGGACCATTAGGGCCACACAATGGTGCCTTGGGCTCAGAATCCTCCCAAGGTGATTTAGATGATAATATGGATTGCGGCGATGATTTTGATGATGACATATCATCTGAACATTTGTCAAACAGTCATGACATGGATTTGAACGATAGACCAAAGTCCGGAGATGACTTCAAAGGCTTACTTTTTGAGCAAAAATTACGAATTGATGCAACTGGTATAGTTAATACAACACCACGGCCACATTCGGTTACTAGCAATGCGAACTCAATCAGCTCTGCACCCACAAGCCCTACCACCGCGCCTAAGTTATGTTCCACACGTGTAAGTTCCCCTGCACGTTCGGCATCGGACGTGTCACAAGGTGCACTTGATCTGACTCCGCGTTCTATACCAACAGCAACTAGTAATAGCGCAAGTGCACGCTCTCCAACAAGCACCGCTACTATTAGAAAATCTCCAACCCCACCGTGCAATGCCAACAGAAGCCCAAGTACAACACAAAAACTAACTCAAATGAGTACCGCACTCACATCACCGTTAACACATACTGGGCCTACTGCAGCCGATTGTCTTCCACCTGTATTGCATCATCATCTACAACAGCAACACCAACAACTAATGCAACAGCAAGCAGCAGTTGCTGCTGCCGCGCATGCACAGGCGCAAGCGCAGCATCATCACCACCAGCAAATGCAACAACATGCCGTGGCAATGCATCAGGAACATTTGCGACGCGAGCAACAGGCTCAAGCCCAGGCTCAAGCACAGGCACAACAACAACTCAGCCAGCTTAGCCAACAGCAACAATCACAACAGCAAGCAACAGCACCACCACCACCGCCTCCACCGCAACAGGGACCACAGCCACCAAACCCGCTAATTGCAGCACGTCCACCTTTCGGTATGTTCCCCAATCTCCCGCTGTTCCCTCCGGCTACCGCACAAAACATGTGCACCGCCATGAATACGATAGCGCAGTCTGTGATGCCGGCGGCTCCGTTCAATCCACTTGCACTATCGGGTGAGTTGTGAGTGTAACAAAGTATATATTTCATTTATAAATATTGTGTGTTTGATTTGCTTTATTCGCATTCGGCTTTCATTTTCTGTTTTCTGTTTTCTTTTTGTTTTTTTCCTTTTTTTTTTTTTTTTTTTTTTTTTTTTCGTTTTTTTTTATTTTGCTTGCATTTAGTGTTTTGGCCATAGATCATTTCATCGCAGTCGCTAAAAGTTTTGCATGTTTGTTGTTGCTTTCAGTTTAAGTATTCATTTTTGTTGTTGTCTCATTGACAGCGGCAGCGCCGACAGTTGGCGTAGCTTAATAATGCATGAAGTTGCTTTATTGCTTTATTGCTTTATTGCTTTTAAAAATGTTATAAATTATTTAATACTGATTTATGCATTAATTAATTTTATATTTCGTTTATTTATATATTTTCATGTGTGAAGGCGTCAGAGGGAGCACAACTTGTGGTATTTGCTTCAAAACATTCCCCTGCCATTCGGCTTTAGAAATTCACTATAGAAGTCATACGAAGGAGCGACCGTTCAAGTGTTCAATCTGTGACCGCGGTTTTACAACTAAGGTGAGTGCCTATAGATAACGGGGGTCGAAAAGTAAGACTTACGTATTGGTTTGGGGGATTTTTCAAAGAAAATTTTTTTTATAAATAATACTAATCGCTTATATCTTATAATATTATTTATATGTGAATTAATGTTTGTTATTTTTTTTGCTTTGCTTTTACAGGGAAATCTAAAGCAGCATATGTTGACACATAAAATTCGTGATATGGAGCAGGAATCCTATAGAAATAGAGCAGTAAAGTATGTAAGTTCCAAAACCCGTATTAACCATAACCTAAATAAAATTAAGTATTTTATAATAATACAAGTGTTTCGCACTTCAAGTTTTATTTATTTATCTATAATAGTTTCGTTGTTATATTAAAAAAAATGGGAAAGTTCCGGTAGACCGATCTTAAAATACATTTAAAAGAAAGACAATCCTTAAAACCATATTCAACGACCATTTTTATTTTTAATATTTGTACTGGAGCAAAAGATACCAAATTTTGATCATCTAGTTTTAGTTCTACTACATGGTGCATCACAACAACAATACAATCTATCGGACCCAAAAGTATTCTAACTTGTAAGCAGAAACCAACCATTAACATTCATAAAGTTTTATTGAAATCGGTTGGGTAGTTTCAGAGATTAACGTGTAGGACTATAGTGACACATGACTTTTATATAATAAGATTACTTCCAACATAAAATTTTTTAGTGGTGTTAGCAGCTCAACATAGAAGAAAGGTCTTATATTTTATATCTATATATAGGTTAGAGAAATATATATGTATGTATATATATATTAGGTTCGAACTAAATATGTATTTAGTATATATATTTAATATTTATAATATATTTAATATATATTAATATATATTTAGTTCAAGTAATAGTAAATTCGTGTTATAGAAGTTCGAGTTACGGAAGTTTGATTGTATTTAAAAACTGAGTGCAAGACCTCTCCAAAAGTAATACCATGCATGGTTTTCTTTTAAGACATGCTAACATCTCTTTTTTTATTATCTCTATATCCCTCTCTGTTTTTACAGTTATCTTTTTCTAAATCTTTTTATTTTTTCCTATGTATCTATGTTCCTATGTATCTCTATCTCTATCTCTCTACTCCCTCGTTATTTCTCTCTTCCTCTATTCTCTTCTCCCTCTCTCTCATTCTCTATCTCTCTCTTTCTCTCGTTATTTCTCTCTCCCTCTCGTTCTCTCGCAGTTTTTGTATTTTTATTCGTGATAATTTATGTTGGAGTCTATTATTTATTTACCATATATCGTACATTTTCTTTCACCTTGTAGTAATTTTCTTTGGCATTTATTCTCGTTTCAGATGAGCGGCTGGAAGGAAGAATTTGAGTAAAGTTTAAAAGAATGAAGCTATGCATGAATGCATTGCATTGCTGGCTAATTAATTGCAAATAAAATCTGGAAATTGTTTAAGTAAAAATCTAAATACACTCGGTAAATATAATGAAATGTATGTATATATATTTACGTATGTATGTACTTAAATACACGTATATACATATTTTATTGGCATATATAAGTCACTAAGTATGTGCAGTCGCAATCGTTGTTGTTGTTGTTGTTGCTTCAAGAAGCCAATATGCCAAAACCAACGCAACTTTCTTAACATTTAAAAAAAATTGTAAGATCATAACGAATTCTCGCATTAAAATGATCTCAGCAGGCGAAAACGAATCAAATAAAAATTTATTTATAACAGAAAATAATAAAAGATCAATATATAATAAAAAATATTTATATTTATATAAAAATTAATTATGAAAAAGAACTACGAGTAAAATTAAAATGAAACCCATAAAACACGTGAAATGCAAAACATTAAAAAATATTTCAAAGTAACAAAAAAAAATTTTAGTGAAAATATTTATGTTGTGAATTTTAATAAAAAAAAAAAACAAAAAAAAGAAAGGAAAATTTGAGATGAAGAAAAATAAATATATAAAACATTTTTTGTTTAAATAGCGAAACAAAATTATTGTTGCCAATAAAAAAATATTATTTGATTTTTTTTCATAAAGTTTACATACTAAAATGAACCCCATTTTTTTTTTATTTTTTTTTTTTTTTTTTTTTTTTTGTACTGCTGGTGCACATGAAATAAATAACATATTTTCGATATATTTTTTTAAAGTTATTTTTACTATATTTTTTTACATATTTTTATTGATAGTTTCATTTTGTATTTCAAAAGCGTAAAATTAATTTTATGAGCCTTTAACATTTTTTTTTTTTTGTGTTTAAAATTAAAAATTCAAGTGAAACGTAACCAAAGATGCAGCTGAAGCAATTCTTTCTTGAAATTTTATTTATATAAATTTTATAAATACATATACATATATACAAAACACACATATTTATATATGCATATGTATATATATGCATATATATAAAATTTAGAAAAATTGCTTTGAAAAGAGACTGATTTCGTTTCATAACAATTTTTAACTAAAATATTTATTAAAATAAAATAAAATAAAATAAAATAAAATAAAATAAAATAAAAAATAAATTAAATTAAATTTTATAAGAAACGCGCTACTTTTCGTGTAAAAACATACGAAATTTAATCAAAATTCGAATTTAAAAACACACTTAAATACAAAATACAAAATATAAGCAAATTAATATTAATAAATTAATAGCAAACATTTGTAAAATAGCAGAGAATATACTTAACATTATTATGAATATAAAAATGAAAACAAAAACAAAAAACAAAAACAAAAACGAAAACAAAAAACTAAAAATATATACACAATTGTGCAATAAATTATTAAGATTAAAAATTAAACAAATTGACATGCAAGTAAGAGTAAATGTTTAATGTTTAAGTGTTTTTAATGTTTTTGCATTGAAGGCAAAAATTAAAAAATTAATCTTTGTTTCCTATATTATATATAAAGTAGGAGTGAAAGGGGGTAAAAATATTTCTGTTGAGATTTAAAGATTAAAGCAGACCCAATTCTAGCATTACTAAAAACAAAAAAAACTGTATTTTAACTTTTTAGATATTAGTTAGTAAGGCATTAATTATTTACTTTATTTGCTGCTTAATAATTATAAATATATATCATGAATAATTTATTAACTGAATTATGAAATAAAATTATATGAAAGAAAAAGAATTTGTGATACTATTAAATACATTTTTTTGCAAAATTAATTAAACTATAAGAACAATTAAAATAAATTTAGTACTAAAAATAGTTGCAGTTACATGTAGGTAACTTTCCAAACGTAAGACCACGAACCCAATAAGCCGAAAATTTTAAGACACGCATACAACGCACGCAACAACACAGTAACGCAGTGACGCAGTAACGCAATCATTGCAATTAACTAACCAAAAAGAAAACTAATTACTATAGAATGAAAATAGTCGGTCAATACCGACTACAGTTTTATGCTAAACAACTGTATGTAATAGAGTGTTGGTAAAGTTGTAACCATAACATTATTTGCATATCTTCTTATTAAGTATAATTAATGACGTTTGCAATATTGCAATATATTTTTATAATAATATATTAATTATAACTGTAATTAATATCTTATTAATATATCTTTTTTTTTATTATTAATAATACCTTAGTTACTACTATAATTAACATATTATTAATATGTTGTATCAATAAAAAAAATTTCCACTTGCTGCTGGTATTGTTTATTTTTTAAAAACTCATTCCTTAACCGTAATATTTTATATTAAAAATAGGCAACTTTTTTAATATAAGATATTAAAAATATGTTTTGTATATTTAATAAATGACATATAGTATGTGATGTATAATTTATTATATGTTATATATTATATATAATTCATTATATATAATATATAATTCATAAGTAGTTATAATAAATAATTCGTTATGTGTAACATATAATTCATTATATATGATTTATAATTCATTCTATATAATATTTAATTAATTATATATAATATTTAATTCATTATATATAATATATAATTCTTATAGGTAATACAAAATTCATTATATATGTTATATTATATATTATATATATTATGTATATTATTATATATATATATTATATTATATTATATATTATGTATATTATTATATATATGTATTATATTATATATATATATTATAATATATAATTTATTATATATAATACATAATTCAGTATATAAAATATAAAATTTATTATATATAATTCATAATTCATATGTATAATATAAAATTCATATATAATATATAATTTATTATGTATAATATATGAGAAAACAAAAAATATGTTGTATGTACTACTTGAATACTTATTAGACAATCTTAACATATTAAAATCTTTAAGGACTATTCTCTGCAACTATGGTTAATTCGTCGGCTATCAATAGCTTTACATTTAGAAAAACTCAATACGTTCTATGTAGACCATAGAAATTCCAATGGCTATACAACTAAGCAAATGCCGTACATGCAAAACGTAGGGCATGAAACAAATTATTTATTCTATATTCTATACCCGGTTGTATGTGTGTGTTGTATGTGTTATACATAAAACGCGTTATAAAAGTTATAAAAATCTTATATATAATATTATTACAAATAAAAACTAAAAAAAAAAACTGATTGTTTTTAATTTTAAATTTACATATATTTCGGCACTTGTTCATGTTTTTGTAAATAAATTTTTTTTTAATTATTATATATAAAAATGAATGGAAAAACAAAATTGTTTGTATGAATTTCTACTTAATTTGTATAAATATATTATTAATATTTAATTTCATAAAATTTATAAATACTATATACATATATATAGATATGAACTTAATATTGTAAAATTTTATGTATTTTCACGAGAAAAACGAAAACAATTTAATTTAATATGAAAATAAATATAAAAACAAACACAAAAACAAAAACAAAACAAAACAAAAAATCAAATTAAATAAAAGAAAAATTTTGAATTAATTTAAAACGCCGTAGTTTTGCATTATTATTATTATTAAATAATTAAAATTTATGATATAGCAAAAAAGATGTTGATGAAGATGAAGATGAAAGAAAGTAAGATTAGCACTTATAAATAAATAAATTTAAGCTTATAAAGATAAAAATATTTGAAATCAAATAAAAAATAAGTATATACGTCATATTTTAGTGTAAGAAGTATGCGTAATAATTAATAATTTATTACAAAAAAACTAAAAATTTTGATTTGAAAACAAAAAACACGAAAAAAAATAATAAAAAATCATACACAAAAAAAATTAATAAAAATAAAAAACAGAAATGATGAGTGTTTCATTTGGTAAACGGTCTGTCTGACTCTCTGTCTGCTTTTTAATTGTTCTATTAACCTTAAAATAAAAAATATATATAATATAAATTTGTATATATGAATATTAATATATATGAATTAATTATATATTATTTGTAAAGTAAATATTTTATGTAAAATATATCTTAAAATTAAAGATATAAGATATATATTATATATAATACTTATTGTTAGGTATTCCTTTATTCGTTGAATGAATTATTGATCACTTAATATAGAATTTCTTCAATGTATTTCCCTTCCCGAAGCAAACACTTCGTGCCCTATAAATATATCGGCCATTTACAGCCGATAGAGACTTATATAAAATTTTATAAAATACATCATTTAAATCTATAATCTCATATATACTCGTAATTAGAATGGGTATGGGATATTGTATCCCTCTATAAAGAAAAATTGATACTAAAAAAAATCAGTGATCATATTCATTTTAAAAAGACTTTGTTTTCTACATGTAAATGTACTGAGATGTCAATACATTACACATAACTGGGTATTTGGGTTTTAATAATCGGAAAAATTCGATTGAAAATAAATTCAAATTTCACTTAATATACGTGCAAATAGAGTTAGTTTCAATTTTAGTAAGATTTGAATTAATAAATATTCAGCTAAATAATATTGTTTATTATGTAGTACAGTGTAATAGTTTTTAGATATAAATTTTTTAGATATAGCATACTATCAGAAATGTGTTTGGACTTAGGCATTCCATCTTTACTTTATTATAGTATTTATATATATATAGCTAATAACTAATACAGTTAATCATTTATTAACTTAAGAACATAATACAATATAAGCAGGTATAGAGCCGATATTGTGCCAGTAGAAAAAGTTAATATTTTTTTTTGTAGTATTTTTGTGGATATAATAATTTTCGCAGATTAGTAGATTATAGTAGCTTGGGAATAGATCTATGCTCCAATCGCTCTCTGTATACGCAATTGAACGTGGCTTAAAGGACCATTTTCAAATTTTAAGCGATGATTGTCTGTGTAACAAATTTCTAAGCTATTTATAAATTATAAACCCATATCAAATTATATGACAATGCAAATGGACTCCTGGGAATATGACGGTAAGTTGCTCATTCAGCGGATCTACATTCAACATTCGGTTTATATTTTATATTATT